GCAGTTGTTTCGTGAAAATAGTCTTGTTGGCGATTCATTCGAATTCGATTTGTCCAGAGGCGATTCCGGCGGCCACAAAATTAATTCAGGTTTAAAGAAATTATCAAAGTATCGTCGTCTGTTTTCGCAAATTGCGTTACTGATTTGACGGATCATTTCGTTTATGTAGTGAATTATTTTCGAAGAATTCGCGTGGAGTTTGAATTGACACTGGTAGAATTGAGTATATGTAGTGGTTGTTATGCGAATTGGTCTGTTTAAAAAATGCTGGAAACTTTCTAAATTAATAAACTTTCAGAACGAAATCACAAAATCTGAGTCAAGGCTGAGTCCGCAACAATTGTTTCTCCGCAAAAAAGCGCATATATGCAAATATCTGGCGAAAAATCTATTGGATGTGAAGTTTAGCGATGTGAATCTCGACGAAAATGGTGCGTTTGAATTTGTTTTAGTTTAAGATTCTTTTCAGAAATTGATGCCAGTCGATTAGTCGAGTCGCCGTGTAATCATAGAGTCATAAGTGTCATTAGTTTCGCCTTTGAGGCGGAATTTAAAACTTGCTGTTGGTCATTTTATATTTTGTGTACGGATTGTGGAGTTGAACAGTAGATTGATCGGTCAGCTAATCAAAATGATCAGATAGGAAATGAAGTAACTGAAAATGTTGATTGTAGGAATCAGCGTGCGTGAAGATGCACTAAAGAAGGTGAAGGAAGATGTTGAGAAGGCATTCACAGTATTGTCACAACTGTTTTCGTATTCACGAAGTGATGAGTGAGTAATTTTTTCATTGTTCATTTGGGCTTTCTAAAATTCATTATTCTGAAGACTGATGACTGGAATGGTGTTTGCTGTTATTAATACCAATCAATAGTGAATGTTTGAGAAATGGTTTGAAATCGAGTGATGTGGTGAATGTGTAATGAAAATCAAAATAAGGATTGATTGAATGCTCCACTTTTCATGTTCAAAATGATTTTTACTTACTTATTTACTTGCTTTTTTATATTTTTACTTATTATTTACTTATTATGTTATGTTTTATATTGTTTATTTTATATGTTCATATTATTTATTTTTGCTTATTATTTTACTTATTATTATTATTTACTTATTGTTTACTTATTATTACTTATTTATTATTTTATATTTTTACTTATTTTTACTTAAAAGAATAGAAAGGTGGTGAGTTTCGATTGAGTTTAGGTGCTTGCGAGATGCAAGTGATGATCTGGTGCCGAATGTGTTGACGGCCGAAGGGACGATATCTGAGAAGGCGATTTTGGCAGTTCTCGAAAAGGTCATCGAAATGAGACATCTGAGTGGAAGTGCGCTGATCAGTGAATGTTTCCCGTCGTTACTGATTTATTTGATAGCATCCAAATGCGATTCATCCGATTTGACAAGGA